GGCTATATGACTTCTACATCATGAAGGCTAATATGACTTCTACATCATGAAGGCTAAAATGACTCCCACATCATGAAGGCTAATATGACTCCCACATCATGAAGGCTAAAATGACTTCCACATCATGAATGCTAAAATGACTTCTACATCATGAATGCTAAAATGACTTCTACATCATGAATGCTAAAATGACTTCCACATCATGAAGGCTAAAATGACTTCCACATCATGAATGCTAAAATGACTCCCACATCATCAAGGCTGTAATAACTCCCACATCATCAAGACTAATAACTCCCACATCATCAAGGCTAAAATTACTTCTACATCATGAAGGCTAAAATGACTTCCACATCATGAAGGCTAATATGACTTCTATATCATGAAGGCTAATTTTAATGACTTCCATACCATGAATACTAAAATGGTAAATCTTTCATAGCTGCAAATAAAAATGATTGTAATAGTGCACTTTGTAACATTATAAAACATTAAAAATTGTAAAATGAAAGTCAGATTTTATCAAAATTAGTTTTAATTCTAATTTACATAACGCTTTACATGGTTCATTTCCAGAATATTTACAATCATGGATAAGGAGACAAACCAAACAGCAAAACATAAACCTAGATCATCATGTAAAACATAAGACAAAGGGGTCCATAGAAGAGAGGAAGGAGGGTTTAAGTTGTCAGTCAAATAAGTGGGAGGGGCTTAATTTTAAATTTTTAGAGCAGAATGATAATCATAGCAATAGTTTCTCCAAATGCAATGAAAAGGAGTATAACATCTAAGAAGAAGTTTTAAATTGGAGAAAAATAGAGAATTTCAATTCTATCTAGACATCAAGTTTAAATTTCGTTGTATACGGAGAAAAGGCAATTTAACAATATATTGCAACGATGAATTGGATTAATTAACTGTGCATTTTAATGATGCATTTGTATAAAATAATGAGAATACAAACAATCATTTTTATCAACCTTGTGTTGTGACAATTCTTTGCTAAAAATATCAAATATATCAACTCATGTATGTGCACTGGAACCTCTAAATTTCTTCATGTTTTTATTCAAAGAAAATTGAACACTATGTATTTTGTGCACCTTCACTTATCAAGCCAAATTTACTTAAAATAATGCAAATATTTCTGATAAACCCTGACACGTTGTGGATACAAGTGTTATTCTAGCAATACAAAGGACATTCCGGTAGCATTGGTTTTATTTATAAATA